AAAACTCATTTCAATAATTCTTTCTCACAGGACAAAACCAAAAAGGAAATAAAATGGAAATTCTGTTGTTGTTGGTATGAGAACATAAAGCGCAAATGAAATCTAGATGAGCATAGCAAGGCTAGGGTTCTTTGATCTAGGTAGTCAAGATATCCAGATCTTCATATTCATTCCTGACTGATTCTTATGCATTGTCCATTTCTACCTCACATTCACTTCTGTAAACTGCAGGCCAGCAATAACAGCTGCCCAGCCACAGTGTCACAGGAGAGCCGTTTGGCTCACATTGCTCTCAGCAGCAGCTCCTGGTTTTTGAAAGCCTGGGCTGATGTTCCCTAGCAACCTCATTCTGTGAAGAAAACCTACTTGCTGCCACTAGTAAAACTAAGGAAGCTGTAAGTGGCAGTGTAGCTAACTCACCTTGTGTGGTCTTCAGTAAAGAATATGAAGATGATACTATATAATGTAACATAGTTGTATAATCTTGGTCATCCTCCAGGCTGTAATTGCAATTTAATTCTGATGAACAGAACATGATGAAGGATCTGAGTGCCCAGAAGTCCATCTGGTTTTCGCCAAATACACCAGCTGTACTCAACTGAGAATGTATGTCCATTCATTCTGTGCACATAATTCTTAACAGTATGATTTCATGCAAAATATTGCTTCTTTCCACAAACCCTGCCTCACCAGGGACTGTGCCCTTTCTTAAAAACACTGATTAGACATAATTATACACAGATAAAGAATGTAACGAAGTCATTGTTGTTGCAGCATGTAAGTCACTGTTTTTCTGCAGATGTTCTATGTGTCTGCTCCTGACACAATCAGACCCAGTCATTTGGTCATTTGTTTGGCCTTGAATATTTCAGCATTAACCAAAAAAAAAGAAAGAAAAAGGAGCCCTTTAAATCAAAATTACTTTGCTGTACGTAGCAAATTAAAGAATGTCAATTTGGTATTTTGTAATGTCACATTAATGGTTTTTTTCTTTTCTGTAAAGATACATTGGAGATCCAAAAGCACGAGGCAGTAGTATCCACCCAGTACCTGAAGACTTTGTTCAAGCTATAAAGACAAATGTTCAAAATATTTTATCCAAACTTTTATTATATTACCTCTGATCCTTGAGCTAGTCTGGATGTCTTAGTCCAGGATTCACTGCTCTATGTGAAATTGCTGGGTATAGACCTATATTTTTTTCTTTCAGAAATTTTTTTTCAATATTTGATAAGAATTAAGACACTTGTTTTGACACTTCCAGCTAAATTTGAGACAGATTCATGTGGTTTTATGTGAGTCAAAAGTATCTTTTTTAGTTATATATCTCCTCTAGGATGTTTATAAGTATCACTAAAGAAATCTATTTGTATCTGGCATGCAACAAGGAACAAAGAGCCAATCCCCACTGAAATTGTATGAAGCATCTCCATTAATACCTATTAGTTTTGAATCAGGTCACCTACCAAGTGCTATTAGGATTTCCCCACGCCGTTACAAATGGGCCATTTCTATAGGGTTTTTTCCTGCAGTAATTTTTTTTTTTTAATTTGTTCTCAGTCAGCCTGAAATAATTTGTCAGCAGTATAACTGGAAAAAAATTAGAGGACTGACCAACACAAGTGCCGGGTGACTGGCATTGCCATCTTAGCAAAGGTCCAAATTCATGTTCAAACCTCTCACTCTCACATCCAGTGTCAAGCAGGTTATTCACTGCAGGTCTCCTGGGAGAATGTTTTAACCAGCCAAAAATGTAATGAAGTTATTTGTGTAGCTACTGGGTAAAAAAAGGAGTGAAAACATTGTGTGGGAAACGAAATGTTTCTTCTGAGACACAATTATTTTTCCTTTCCTTTTTATTTTTTTTTTATATTTTGCTGAACAAAAAGACTGTTTCAAGTTGAACTGAAACTTTTTTATATTTGTTGCTCTGCAGCCCAACCAAAAAAAAAAATCTGTTATTTCCACTGTGCTATTTCTAACCTTTCTATTTTATTCAAACTAGGTTTACACAATTTGCTTTCTAAGGAGCAATGGCATCAGGATCTGCAGAACAGCCAGGGTCAAAATTTCACTATTTCTGAATACACCTACAATATGCACAGATTTGCATAATAGGCCCTAATGCCTCCTTCAGAATCATTATGGTCTATTGAGTAAATAATGTGTCTATTGAAAATGGTTGAAATACCCATTTAGTTGATAGACTCTATTGACTCCTAATAAGAAGTTATTAGAGTTGAATAAATATTATGCATTTTAAAACTTGCCTAAATATATTCCATTTCACATATTTTCATATTTACACAATCGACTGTAAAAAACATGTTGTATCTGCTCCTAGACAGCTCCAAGAGAGAGCTTCCCTTTTTGTAGGGTTTTTTCTTAACTTTGCAGGTGCTAAGGTAGGTTTTATTTGAGTAGTTGTTTTGTTTTTTGATGAGACTGACATGGGGGAATAAAATCAGAACAAGAATGAAAACTAAACTACATGAGTTGCTACTTAAATAAAATTAAGTTTTATGTTTTCAAGAAGTTAGCATAGGATTTAGCCATACTCTCTCAGGTTTATATGTGGGATTGCACAACACATTCTTTACAGTCAATTGTTTAAATATGCTAATACATAGAAAAGAATGAGCATAGTTAGGCAATGTGTAAAATGCATATTTTCATTTACTCAGGCTTAAATGTTTTCTTGAGAACTGAAAGAATCTCTCAAGTTAAACCATACTTTGATAATTATCCATATATACATTTTTTTTGCTAATCTATAGCAATTCTGAAGCAACTGTAAGTAGCTGTGACTGTTTAGCATAAAGATTTCAGACTCCAGATGTGCCTTACATTGTTTTGTGTCTCAGAGTTTCAGATCTTGTATTCTGGATTGCACATCCTGCTATTCCATTTGCTGCCATGTGGACATAAAAATTAGCCAGGATGCAAAGCTGGTACGGAAGTGTCTGTTGGATGCGCTTACTTGAAGTGAAAGCAAGCCAGGGAAGTGGCTGCTGCTGTTCTGCTCAAACAGATGGTTCAACTGCTTGTAAAGAGCATGAACAGGTACAGATAGTGACAGAAGTGATTGTTTTATACATTTTCACACCAGCTGACTTCATGTTCTCTAGCAATCACAGACCCTGTTTGCTGTTCTCTTGTTGCTTTCAAATGGTTTACATATTTATGCACATTTCTGGACCTCATCAGCCTCTAGAAGACCACCAGGAAAACTTACCAGCAGTTTGCACAGACATCAAAGCAGAAGACCTGTCTTTGTGGCCCATACGAGCCACATAGAAGTCCAACACAACTGTATGTGAAGACTGCACATAGACCTGAGGAGTGTGTTTTCAGAGGTTGAACTTGGTCACTCTAAGGTCTGACTATGCAGTCACTGACTGTGTCTACTCTACTATACCTCTTCATTAGCTCAGTTTTCCAAAAGGTTGCCTCGACTGTATATCGCTGTGACAGTGTTATGCAAATTGTTTTCTCAGTTTATTTAATTTGATGTTGGCAAGAATGGAGGGTTAATGGCCTTGGCACAAACACATCTTGCTGCTATTTTCCAGACAGCTCCTTGAATATCTGAACAGTCTTCTTCAGTCTCACAACAGCAAAGAAACAAAGAAAGGTCTGATCTAGTTTTTAGCCATATCCCATTGTGGACTAAAAATGCTGAGATCTCCAAACTGTAGCTGATTTGTCCTGTGCAAGGCACACCTAATTTGGTTGTTTTACTCCTCTCTTTCCTCTGCTGCCTACAAATGTCTTTCACATTTTATCCAGCCTGTGCACATTGCAGAAAGTGTGGTCCACAGGCCACCCCCTTCTCCCTTCTTCCTTCTCCTCTTCCACAAGACTCCTCTTTAAGGTAGGTCCTTACCCAGTGAGCACCAACGTATATGCAGGGGACACAGGTCTTCCAGAGCACTGACTTGTGAAAAAACCATGATGCAGAAATGATTTCTATATCCTCACAACCTATATGGTATTAAATAATTATCTTCTCTGTGACTGAGGGGTACTGAACAGTCAGTGAGAATGACTCCTAACAAACTGGAATATTCTTCACAGATACACCTCAGTACTGGAGGTGCAGCATGGCCCCATCTTTCACCTTCACCTTTAATTCACTTGTCTTCCCACAGTCACTTTTCCCTGGCTGTCAGAAACACAGAGACAAAGTGCATTCTGTGTTCCATCAGGTGTAGTGTTTCACAGCTAGGGCACCAAAGCCTGTCATTTCTGATATTTCTATCCTGACACATAAAAAGTAGAAGTTCAAGAACTGAATTAAAAAGAACAGCTTAGGAGAGATAATAGATAATTAGGTTATCCTCTTTATTTTTTTTTATTTGTAGGAAATTGATATACATGTTCTCAGTGGTTTGCATAAGTTATTTCATTTCTGTCTTTCACTGTCCCTGAATAAACTTGAAAGCACCATCTGATCCCTACTTCTGGGTGCTTATGGTATGACTAAAAGTTGATGATATTTTCAGTGTAAGCTTCCCTTCCTCTCCTTCCTTTCCTCTCTACCCAACAAAAAAGTTTGAACACTCCACACTTTCTATACCTCTGGCTCCCAGGCAGCATTTGGAATAGTAGAAGCACTGGAAAGCATGGAAGCCAAATAATACTAGCAGGGCAAACAGAATGTAATTGCTTATGTGTGCTGGTTATATCCTGAAACAAATTGTTTCCTAATGCTGAGGTCAGACAGGGTTTAATTAGGAGAAATACAATTGGTGTGAAATTTTGCAGCAGGCTGCTTGTTTGGTGTCATGCCAAGTCAACATCAAGCCTTTCCAAATGGAAATTTTCATTAGAGGCCATTGGCAGCCTGGTTAGGCTAGGTTTCAACTTTTCCGAGTCTCCTGGTAACATGAACCTGAGACAGCATATCTGCTTCCTAGTAACAGGCTGTCCCTTTTGCAACTGTTCTCACACATGCACACAGCTTCTACATATGCAGTAACATGTGTGTGGCTACTTTCTTCTGGCCTGAAGCTGTCAAGATCTGCATGCTGGTAGGACTTATCTTTAGCTTTAAGACTGTGGATAATGACATTTTATTTTCTTATTGCTTTCATATCAAATATAGAGAAAGAAGCCTTTGAACCTCAGCAGAGTAAGGGAAATTTCTAAGCATTTTTTTGTTGAGTTGCGAGTCTTTTTTTGCTCTCTGTACCACTCAATGCAAGGTTCTCAAGGATCCTTACTGATGCTCAAAGCACTGATTCTGCTCTTTACACTGATTAACACAGCCTCAGTGCTTGTGCTGCCAAGGTTAAGGTTGTATCAGCATTTCCTCTACAGACCCTTCTGTTCAAGAGAAAAATGTTTAACTTGAATGAGAAAATTTGCCTCAGGGTGCAAATTTTTTTCCCTTCCCCTAATGTTGTGAGTAAAGCTGATGCTTATAAAACCAAGGGATGGGCATTCTGGCTTATAGCAAGTAGGCATTGAAGGCTTAGCATACCTCAGTCACAGTTTGTGTCTTTTCTTCTTATGCCCATCCTGACATGGAGAACACTAATGAACAGACCACAAAGGAAGTGTGACCTGATGTATGCCAAATCTTGTGGGCTTTAAAGTTGAGCTACCAGAGATATTTACTCCAGAAAGTGCTGTCAGCAAAAGGCAGGAGCAGTGGAGAATTTGTGGCCACTGTGAAAGCTGGCTCTGATAGCAGGTGAGCTGGCAGAGAACAGTTTGTAAGCCAAACTGCCCCTGCAAATAAGACAAGCCAGGTTATAGGAGGGAGAAAATGCTGGGAAGAAAGTGGCAGAGACCCAAGTAGATAGTCATTGCACAGCAATTTTTTAAAGTAAACAGAAGCCTTTTCATTTCAATATCTCTCTGCCCTGGTTCAGACTATATCTGAATCAGCATTTACAGAATGCTCCACCTCCTCCCTGAAGGTGACATTTTCTCTCCTCTGTGGTTTTTTAACCAGTGGTCAGTGTCTCATTTTCTCTCCCCCTTCTGCTCTCAGTTTGACAGAGCAGTACAGTCCCTTTCCCTTCCCTTATCTGCAGGCCAGCTGAGGGGCACTGCTGCCTCTGTCCTCCTTCACCCCTGCACCAATCCTACTGTATTTGTCTTTTGTGTATTTGTCTTTGAATCCTTATTCCTAGCCTGCTGTATCTACTTAGCTGCTGTTCATGTGCACAGCTCACAGCAGCAATGATAGTTAACAGTATTCGCTGTGGGTAGGTATGTGTAGGGAAAGAAAATAGAAAACCAGTTTTGTTGCTGTTCCTAATCTCTGCCTACACGCTCCTGTTAAGGTGTAGTCTTTATAGGAGGAGCAAAAAAGGGCCATTCAGAACAAAAATATGGGAATATCCACTGCACACACATGGTCTTTCACACAAGAGTGCCTTGAAATATTTGTGTTGTGAAATCTATAAAATATCTTTGGATAGAGATTTGGAGCTTGACCAGATTCTGTGGAGTTTAGGGAGGAAAATAAGCTTTTATATAGAATGCTTTTCTTTTTTTTTTTCTCCCAAGGGCAGTTAGCAAAGGATTTTGATATGACTAAATTGAGATTTCCCATGTTTCTGTATCTGGCTTTTCTTTGCTTCTAGGGTGCAAATTTAGGGCATGTTTTGCGGTGCCAACGGACTATTATTTTTTTCCCCAATCTGTGGCACTGATATCTCATACTGGCACAGATTTTACAGTTTCAAGTCCATGGCTGGGGGGACACAGCCAGGTTAAAACTGAGATGTGAATGGTGGCCTGTGCTTTGGCAGACCAGAGCTGCTGTGTGGCCCTAGGAAAACCGCTACACATGTCAACTCAAAGATCACCTTCACAAACACCCTGATAACCCATACGCTTCCCACTCCCATAAAAGCCCACCGCTCTTTAACTCTTCTGGGGCTGACGGGCTACTTGATTTCCCCTTGGCAAAGGGAAGGCAGCATCACTTTTTCCTTCATCAAAGAAATAAATGAACAGCAAGGTAGAAGAGGGCAGCATCTTGACTACCTTTTCTTGAAGGTATTATCAATTTGGAGTTTAGAGTTTCTCATTTTATTAAACACACTTTCATGCACGTGTGACTATGAATGTATGTATTGGGCTCTGGTACTGGCACTGCAGCAGAGGATCAGGTGGTGAGGTGGGGGTTGAAGGATTAAATATAGTTTCTGCAGTGTGATCATCTCTCCTCTGTTTTTAAAACCTCCAGCCTTTTTCTGAATTACCCCGTGGGTAGCTTAGTAACAGATATGATGGCCCATTCTTTAGTGCACTTAAAAAAACTCTAGAAAATATACTGCCATTCTAGAAAGAAATAAACAAAACTAATGAGCTGAAGGTGTTGTCATGGAAGTGTTACTTATAAGCATGGAAGGGGCAGCTGCCCTTCTGAGCTCTGCTGAACAGCCAGAGCATAAAGCAGTGCTCTCTGTCACGTACAGCCAGGAGGCTGCGGGCTCTGTAAACGCTGTTTGTACAGATGACGAGTCCCCTGCCGAAGCGGGTGATCAGTGGACCGGGGTCAGAGACATTAACAGGCTCAAAGACGCGATGCTGGATGATCACTTGTACCGGCCATTGCCATGCAGAAGGCACATTAGGGGGAAGCTTGGCAGAGCTGGGTAACACTGAGCCTCTCTATTTGCATGCAGCACAGGAAAGCAAGGAGTGCTCGTCTCCTGTTTAAAGGCAGCTACTGCTGCTTCACTGGGAGCTTTGGCCTTTTCAGTGGGGAACCCAGGAGACAGGCTGTCAAAACAGAAGTCTCTTGTTCTAACTACCAAGCTCACGAAGCAGGGATAATGAAAATAAATAAATAAATAAATAAATAAATAAAAATTTAAAAAGCTCAGATCAGTCAAATCAAAGAGAGTTGTTGTTTTTTTGGTTGACTTATTTTTTCCTTTTCTGAAGTTATTTGGTTGTTTTGAGTTGGTTGGATACAGAAGCATGAAGTGTGGAGTTCACTCAAGACATTGAAGATAAATTCATAGTTCAGTTTTGCAAAAAGACAAACAAATAAAAGTTGACTTACACAGTGGAGGTTTTATATTTCCTCATTGTATTTCTTCTACTTTGTACAAATCTTCCTGGAAATCTCTGTAGTAACTCTTACTAACCGTGTGATGCCTGCTGTGCAGGGCAGAACTGATCAACTGCAGGGAATCCTTCCATTTTCATCTGTTTTTTTCAATCGTGTCAAATTCCTTCTCTTTAGTAATCCCCCTCATTCCCTTAGGAGCTGAGAGAAGATTTAATTGTTAAATTTGCATAGTAATTCAGCAAACAAACTCTCCAGTCTAGTGTAGATCTTTAGCTGTTGCAGGCTTAATTTTATTTATAAATCACTCACTTGTCTATGCTCAGTCATGATGGCATTTCATACTCAGGAGGCTGATGCAGAGAAATTATTGAGGAACTGTCCATGCCAGGGCTTTTTCTTTTAGGACTACTCTTTTATAATGTAGCTTATTGCAAGATTATTTTGAGAATGGGGCTTTGCAGGTGGATTGTGTTTGCCCATTCTCCACAACTATCCATGTCATAAAATAATCCTGCCATAAGTGGCTTCTGTCTGGTAGACCACTTGTTGCAATTCTGAATATGAAAAATAGCTTAAATCTTATTTAGTGAAATGAAACACAGTAAATACAAAAATACCTTCACTGTTGCTGCATTACAACAAAACAGTTTGATTTTAAATATGATTTGCAAGTGTGGAGATTTGCAAGGTTTCTGCAGGATATGGGAAAGGTGGAACATTGTTAGAGTGAACAGAAAACTCCAGGTTTCTAAATGCAGTCCACAATACCTCATGCTAACATCTAGAGACTTTTAAAATCATGATACAGAGAGTTGTATTACTAGGCTCAGTTGTCCAGAGATGTGGTGGCACAATTCAGTGGTGCAGCTTTAATATTTAATATTTTGATGCTAAAACTGTCCAGAATTCCCTTTGCATCTCTACCCTGCTCTACTGAATCTGTTCCCTGTGACAAACCATCTTGACAATCTACAGGCTCAATAACGAAGAGGAAACTCCACAGCTGTGAGGAAGAGGTGTTGTATCCGAGAGGCAGTAGCCTGGTTGAAGGTGTGCAGAGCTCCTACCTTCAGTGGTCACAAACTGAACTATTGCAAGTGTCCTTTCCCCGTGAAATTGAAGAGGTTGTGCAGCATCCAAACTTTGAAGTTTTGAAGACCCAACCAGATGAAGCCCTGAGCAGCTTGGTCTGAACTCATTGCAGACTTAACTTGGCTGGGGGCTACTTTAAACAGTTTATTCAGAGATGTATTTCAGCAGTGCATTAAAAACCATGTATTTTGCTTCAGTAGGAAGCTCCCAGTGCTTCACATCCAGCACATTCTCCACATTCTAGAGTTTTGGAAGAAGTCAGCCAAACAGAGAAGACTCCGGGCGACATCCACAGACCTGCTTATTTAGAAATAAGCACAGAAATTCAGAAAAGTAACACAGCCTGCTCCATTAGCTCTGCTTAGAGCTGCAAGCGCAGCTGAGCTGGCCATGATAAGACCTTCATTGTTCCTCCTCCCACCCACCAAGACTGGGCTGCATCTGCCTCTAAGCACTGACCGTGTCTGTCCCCTTTTTTAGTTCAGACAAAGCCTGAATTAAACAACAGGCAAATGCCTCTGTCTATCAGAGATCTTTGCTGATCTCCACTGAAGAGAGTCCTAATAAAGTATATCCCACAGAAGATACTTGCTGACTTCCCTTTTGAAGTGAAGAATAATGTCTTACATGCAACAAATTGCTTGCAGCAAATAATGTATCATATGGATGGAGTCAACACTTCCTTCTAGTAATATCTGAATTAATCTTTACTTTTGAATGAGACACAAACCCCATGTGTCACCTCCAAAATGTACTTCGAGTGTTAAATCCAGCTCACACAGAAGATGTTAGGTATGACTGACTCTGTGGCACTGTCCATTTTCAGTTCCAAAGCTACTCAGCCATTTTTGCTAGGAACACTTGGACATACCTATTTCAGGCTGTTTAAGAAAAATGTGTGCTTGTCATTCTGAAACTTATACTTCATGAACATCCGTGCCTTTAACTGATAAAAGAAATGTTGTAGAAATAAGTTTGAAGAAGTAACACTGCAGCTTAATATCCATAAAATATTACAGGGAAATCATCCTGAGGAAAAAAAATCTTAAATGTTCCTTGACTCATCCCGTCAAAATCTACGATATCATGTTGCTGCTTGTGATACAGTAAAATTATCATCTTAAGGCAGCCCTGCTATAATGAAGTGATGTTGGGTAGTACCAATCTGGTATCTCTCCTACAGCTGGTTATGTTTTCAGAGGGCTTACAGAAATTCAACTGCTCTGAGTAACTTAAAAGCAATACCTGATACATGTGCCTTGAGATAGTTGTGGGAATCTTAGTTTTGGACTGTGACAACTTCCCCAAACTTAACTTACACCTGAACATTTTTTGTGTTGTTGCTGCTGGCACAGGAGAGGTATACACTTCTGTATTGACCTTCTAAACCATCTCACTGTGTATCTTTTACTCCCACTGGCAAAGAAAACAACAGTTTAGCTGCTTTCTCAATGTCAACTGTCTGCAGCGAGTTTATCATACTGAACTGTGTAATTACATTTATGCATTAAACAGTAGTCAAGAGATATGTGAGTCCCCACATGTTGATACTATCTGCAAGGCAAGCCATTCCCCAGGAGTTATGCAATCAAACAGGGGATTTAATCGATGAATGATTTGTTGTCTCAGATTCTTGTTCCCAAGGAAGAAGAAAAATAAAGGGTAGTTTTCCTTGGGATATGAGTATACATGAGCTTAACAAGGCAGTTGTGAATGAGAGCATTTCATCCCACTTGGGCAGTATTCTTGGGATTATGAAGAAACTTAAATTCTTTGGATGTCTGAGGAATCATTTGCAGGCACCATGACACAGAAATAGGTGGGATCTTGCAAGTGATACAACACAGAATTCCACATCTTTTTCTCATAAAAGCCACATTAAATTATCAGCCTAGTGCTTTCCCAGTATATTGTCTCACTGATCTTGAACAAGCCATCCTGGTGTTGGGGGAACAGTTATCTGGGTGATAATCAGTGCTGAGACCTCAGAGCAGCTCAAAGAAATTTGAGAGCTATATAAACATTCAGCTGAAATTCCTTTACGCAGACAATTTTCCCTCCACTAGTCTTCTGAACTCCAAAAGAAGCATAAGCCCTGACTCAGGCAATGTGGAGTGTTTGCTCTGGCACCCAAGCCAGCAGATGTGACTACTTGGCATCCTTTCCCGAGACTTGAACCTCATGGTATGTCTATGCCAAATGTACCCACATTATGCAAGACTAATGGAAATTCGCCAGGCAGAGCAATGCTATGTTTTCCCAGATAAATGTTGCTCAGTTTAATTTTGAGGAACTGCCTGATAAAAGCCTCAGTGATTACCTTGTTTGCCTAACTGTCTTCATTCTGTGAGATCCAGCACTTTTACTGGAACAGAGAATACATGAAAAACATGAGGGAACAAGTGCATCAGAGGAGCAAAAGAGGCCAAGCAAATCTCCTGGTGAAAGGTGAAGCATGCACCTGAGAAAAAGGGTTTCTTTCCTCGTTGGAAGATAAGTTGACTGCACGGAAGGACCACTAAGAATAGTTTGTCATCTGACGTGGTTCAAGTGACTCAAGCTGCACAGTCACAGTGAGCTGTTCATTTCAGTTTTTCTTTTTCCCCAATTCCAGGCAAAGCTCACCACGGAAAAATGCTGGGATGAAGGTCATTTGCCGTTGGCAGCACCTGGAAGGTGAGACAGAAATGTAAAAACTCATGTTGTACAATATCTGCAGAATATAAGGAAGTAGAAAATGAAATATAATGGAATGAAAATGTGCATAGGATTAGCCAACTGAAAGACATGCATTAAAATATAAAGTTATTCTGATTATCACCCCCCTGCCCTTCATTTGAACCAACTACTATTTGCCTACAGCTTTGCACCAGGGCAAGATTTTTTATTTCATATTTAGTTCACATAAAAATGCAGTCCTGTTTCTGACTGTGGTCTTTGATCGCTAACATAACTCCTAAAAATGGTAAGTGTGATTTGTTATCTTTAACAGCCAAAGGCACTTGCCACAATCTGACTCAATTATATTCAACGTGCTTGTGACATTCACAAACAGGGCAGCCCAAATCAAGCAAAGAGTCAGGGATATGTGCTGTGCAGGTAGCTGTGATTTAGTTCTGAAGTTGAGGAAAGCCATAAATATCCCATGGAGCCTCTCTGAGGTATAACAAACCTATTGTCACCCAACCACAGCCTGATAAAATGGCTGGAGCATGCAATGCCTTTTGTTGCCAGATCCTTCACTCTACAGCAGAACAATGCTATTGAACTTGGAGGAACACCTTAAGTAGCAGCAGGGGATTGCTGTTACACTATTAGTGCAACTGATTGCTTCAGCAAATAGCCAGAAGTAGCCATTTCTTCTCAAGTTACTTACATGGCAGTAATCAAGTTTTGTTACCAAATTTCAGCCATGAAGGAAATCCAAAAGAAACTGACTTCTAACCCTGGACTTCACCTTCATGAGAAGAACTGGGGAAGAGACATAGTGAATCACAGGGCTCCTGCTATTTATTATCCAGAGGCAAATGGAAAATGGAATCATTTTCACAGCATTTTGAAAGGCTGTTTACAAACTGTTGGCCTGGAAGGGAAATTCTGGAAATCATTCACTGTAGATGTCTTATGTAACCACCTGTCTGACATTCAACAAGCCTATCCTGCAGGGATAGGAGCAAGGTGCTAATGTTCTCCAAAGTCCCACACAAACCAGAGTTAATGGCTGGGTGGATAGCTCCCAGTGAATAACTTAGTCAATTAAAATGTCCTTTTTTGATCTGCAGACATTGTTGTGAGTTTCTCAGTTATTCATTTGAAATTATTATCTGAGTTATTTGTTGTCCACAGCAATTCATTGCAGAACTAGTCAAAATAATGTTGAAACTCAGAATATCAGACAGAGAGCAGATATTTCTTTTCCTTGATTAGCTAAATGAGACATTTTGCATCAAGTTTCTGCTTCAATATTTAGATTTTTGAAAGAGAAAATAGCCTTGTGAAAACACAGTTTAATATTTACTTAAATGCTGCTGTTTCAATAGCTGGTAGTAAATTCATTCAATAGATTATTTGTGAAAGTCGGCAGAAAAAACATGAATAATCAAACAAACTATTTAAATCATTTAAACACAGCATTATCTGAGGGTTAAGTAATGTTTGCCTACTTGCAAACACAGTTGCCAGTTGTCTGCAGCACATTGTATAGGACATACCTTCAAATTCAAACTAAGAGAGTAGTTTACAGATACAAGCTAAAAATAATTCTGCTAGTTCTTTCATAGACATTAAACAAATAAAAAAATTTAAAAAGAAATTTTGAACACACTCATGCCTTGACCACACTCATCAGGAACAGATCTCTGCTCCCAGCTCCCCTAATGGGCTGAGTTGCTAGTTAATCCTTTATAAATGTTCCCTAGAAAAAAATTCAGTTGTGCCAAGCTACTAAGAATCCTGTCAGCATGTAACAACAAGAACAAAATCTTATGCATAATGAAAGAATATTGAAAATACATGTATAGTCTTTGGCTGCTCTATACTGGCTGTTCAGTGGTTCAGTTGGTGTATTAAAATGTATTTTAAAACATTATTTTGGTTAAATCCAATCCCTACTTGACACTTATAAACAATTTAAGAGAATTAAGGTATTTCATATACTAGTTGTTATTCTTCCTGCTGAATGGATGAACACATTCCACAGAAGGGAAATTACAAAGATGTAAGTTATGCTGGGTGACAGGGATATGGAGTTAGGCAACATTCATGCTTCATTTTGCTAATGGATTGGATTACAACCCTTCTCCTTAGTGAGAAGCATAGGGATAAAGAAGATGCACACAGTCTTTGCTTTTTTGCTGTAGTCCAACAGGATGCTTTGTAAGTTATTCTTACCAAAAGTGTCAAAATGAGTTTAAGTGACAGATTATGTATTTGCTTACCTACATTTAACATTGGCATCTCTCCATTCACTCACACTAGGGTAAATAAACCGAGGCTCTGGCTCCATATTCCCCCTTGTTTGATCTCACTCTAGATCAGTGATGCCAAACCACCAGCACTGGCAAACAGAGATCTGGGCTGGCACCAATGACAATGAGCAAACAACACTTTCAAAACATGTTTGATGCCAGATAGCAAAGAGCACCCTCCCTACTTCAGGAGCTCATTGACAGAAAGGCTTTCTGCTCTGAAATCCACAACTCTCTCCTGCATGTGGCTGGAAGGGCTAATATGCCATTTTTTTCTGCAGCCCCCAAAAAAGAAATCCACTGTATTCCAAACAGTGACACATAGGTGGTTCCTGTTAATCCAGTTAATCCAAAACTCTGTTTAAGTATGAACAAACCTAGCTCAGCAAGACACAAGAAGCACAAATGAAAAGCACAGCTAAAATTTGCATGTCAACTGTAAAACCTTTCAGCTTTTTCTAGACATCTTCAGGTTTAGCGGTGGACTTGGCAGTGCTGGGTTAATGGTTGGACTTGATGATCTTAGAGGCCTTTTCCCACCTAAACGAGTCTATGTTTCTATCCCACTCTGATGCAGTGTTACACTCCAGCACGTGCTACGACTACACCTCTAGTGCCTGATGCACCTCTATCATGTGCCTGGTGTTCCTGGAGGGAATGGTCCAGTCCGGCTGCCCTTACCGAGCACAGCCACGGGCCACGTTGCACTGGCTGGGGACAGGGTCAGCCAAGTCGTTTCTTCTTAAATTACACCAGTCCCCACTTCCCACCCAAAGGGCTTCAACAGGCAGCGGGGGCCGAGAGCGACGGGGACATTGGATTACCCGCAGGGTCAAAACACAGCATGGGCTTCATCCACCTCAGCACTGTAAAGCAGCCGGCACGACTGGGAGGTGAGCGTTTGCTCACCGCTACTCGCAGCCACACACGAGCCAGCACGAACGCCCAAACCTCTGCCCGCACCCACACCAACACAAGCACCTCCTGCTCCAC